AGATAGATAGATAGATAGATAGATAGATAGATAGATAGATAGATAGAAAATACTACAAACTGGAACATGTCTGAATTGATTTTTGCATTGAACTTAACGGTTGTTTAAAATCCCTTACAGCGTTCTATACTACTATAAAACAATACAATAATAATACTTACTCTCTGTCCACTACTAGGCACTGTGTGTCATTCTCATTGCAGATGATGTTGGCTGAGCGGACATCCTCACTATAAATATACAAGTTAAGATGACAGATAAACAGCCCGAACTTGAAATATAGTTACTGCAGGTAAAAACAACTGTTTAAAGAATCAATTTATTATTTGCATGTGTATCTCATTTATAGATTATTACCGTTGTATATAGAACATGTATGTTTCCATCACCCCTCTGGGTTAGAGGGTTACACACAGCTTTTAGAAATTCTAAGTTGAGGCACTGTTATGTTTGTTAAAGCAAATAGAAAAAAGTAGAACAACCAAAAACTATAATGACAACCAGGTGGAAGCAGACACTGGAAGAACGTTTCCTAACACATTCTCTTACAGTTGTGGTAAACATGTATTAAGTTTAAAGGTGTTAACCAGAATATATAAAGTCAGGGTATGGAACTTGTAAGCCAAATCACTGAGTGTTAAAGCATAAGTAAAGAGACAATAATATGTTAACTAGAAAGAAAAATGAAATAAAAACAAGGATGGAGAAAGTCAATTTAAAGTAGAAAACACACCAATTAATCACAACACCTTATGGAACTCTGCAAAATAATTGGGAGATTTTTATTTATTACTGTTTGAGATTTAACAGAATATTCAACTGAATATTTGAAGCGGTTTTTATGTAGTTTCTACCTTTAGCCAGTGAAACTATGGTGCAATGCTACAGTAAAAAAAATTGTTGTAAGCTCAATCCACCAGGTAGATAACAAGAAAAAAGGTTAAATCATGTCATCTGGACCAGTTTCTTTAAGTGAGAAACGTTTCGTCTCCCATCCAGAGGACTTCCTCAGTCCGTGGCCTGCCTACCAGATCTGTCCCATAGGCAGCCTTCACTGCTGTTTCAAGCCAGCCTCCTGTTGGAATCTCAGGAGTAGACTTTTAACACGTGTGTGCAAACAGAGCACACCATGTCATCTGGACCCCACTGGTCCAGAAGACATGATGTAACCTTTTTTTGTTTAATGCTACAGTACATTTCAGATTTTTTTATATGTCTTAAACCTGTTTACTGTTTTGTATATTATTCTCATTTTCAACAAGTACCAAAAGGTGCAACTCTGTGATGACTAATGTGACAGAAACAGGAAAGATGCATGTTTGTGTTGTCCTTCCCTGCAGGATCTGAGACTGTACTCTGGCTCAGTATCATTTTCTTATTGACCTTCTGCCAATAATGCACTGCATTTTACTTCATTCCTCTTGTATTCACAGTGAAGCACCATAAATAAACAAATGGCAAATAAAAGCACATTAAACATAATGAAACTTAGGATTTATGAGAAAGGACAACATTAAACATTCTTTTTTAGTAGTCAAGGTAACCCGGTGTCTGGCGACTGAATCTTCAGTGAACGTCTTGAGGTCATGTGATCAAATGTGATCAAAACATTTCATTTAAATTCAAAGGCTCTGACTCATAAAATTATTAAAGCAAAAATAGTTTTGCCAGACTGCTCAATCAGCTGATGCAGTTGGGGTTATGAGTTATGGTTAATGTGTGAACAGATTTACCACAGTGAGACAGTAGTAAAGATCTGCGTCATCAACACACTGCTCTACATGTAAAAAGTTGAATTTTTCATTCAACCTTTATTTAAACAGATAAATCACGTTGAGCCTCGAAGACTCATTTACAAGTGAGACCTGTTTGGACAGACAAAAACAGTGGTTAACTGGACACATGTAGGAGTTAGAGGCAAAAAAAATTCCCATCAGACTTTTTTCTTGGCTGAGAAAAACCTCTAATATTGAAAAAACACCTTGCACAAACAAGCACATATTTACATAGACATTCTGCATCAGAGACGAGAGCGGTCAACAACGCTTATAGATGCTCTCGAGGTCACTGTAATCAGTCAATGTCCTCCGGTGAGATCCATAAACATTCTTGAGGTATGTCGAGGAATGGCCAAGAATAACCTCTATAAGAATCCAGAGTCCTGAAATGATGACACAAAGTTTATTCAGCTGGTTTCATCTGGTTATCAGTTGGAAATTCCTCAGGGAGGGGGTGGTGAGCGTCAGATCACATTTTCTCCAGGCAAATTTAGATAAGATGACCTTCAAGGACAACCAAGGCGACCAAAATTCAGATAAACACACAGCTGTTTTGGGGACAGGCAGAACTTAATGACATCAACCTCGAGTCTGTGTCGGTCTACTCGGTTCTGAAATGTCCAAAATTACATGGCCACACCGATTGAACATGACTGAGTAAAAATCCCCAAGATCTGATCCATTCAGCCCAAAGCATTTGAGTCCGGGTACTCCAGACATGAACCAAGCCATCATAAAGACAAGCAGCGTGATCGGGTCCAAATTTGTTGCTGACGACTTCCTTGATTGTAGATAAAACCAGCACCAGCTGAATCCAAAAAAAGCAGGAACCAGTTATCGAAAATCCAATTAAATATGCGTCCTTAAAGTCCACAGATGTCAGCAGAGATAGACAAATCATCAAGTCTTCCAGTCGATGAGATATCCAGCTGCGTACGTGCCAACAGGGTAAATCGGCTTGCCCAAAGCCTGTCTTCTTTTCGAAGAAATATTGTAAATTAAGATGAGGGACCAACTGGTCGAAACAAGTCCATAATTATGGTTCGGAAGAAATGCAAGAGAGTCTCACAGCAGTTTCACAGACAGACAGAGCAGCAAAGCAAAGCGGAGAGGGAGGGAGAGAAGCATCCGATCTCGTGGGGAGCGAGTGGTGAAGAGAATTTTAAAGTCTTGTGTTCTTTTTTTTTTTTTGAGTTTATACAATACCTGATGAGAGCTTTTTCTCCAAAGTAGTCCCCGACTCCCAAAGTTTTGATTTCCTGAGGTGCAGCAAATCCCTCTGTGCTTTGGGTGACTATAACCTAAATATGAAATAAATTAGAGCAGTAAATATGCTGTGTCTCTTATTTGTGTTTTATTTGCACACAAGATTGATTGCCTTGCTGTGTGATTGTATGTTGATACAGGATCTTAAATTACAAGGCATGGCTAGTTGTCGTGTGATTTTAATTGCCTTTCCCCATGAAACGCTATCATATCTGTTTGTTTGCTTTCCTATTAGCAAATTATTTCATGAACCAGTGAAATAATTTTAACAAAACTCTCAAAAAGCAGTCATTGAATGTACATTTAAGCGATTAAATTTTGGAGTCAACCCAGTTCTAAATGGCTTTAATGGCTAATCAAACTCAACACACACAACGATGGCTATAACTCAGTCAATTCTACAAATATTAATATGTTTAAAAATACTGGCGTCAACCCAGTCTGACAACAAGCAAAACATTTAAATCATTCATTTAACCTTTATTTATACAGGTTAATCTCATTGAGTCACGAGGACTCAGTTACAAGAGATACCTGTAATAAACTAGTAAACAGATTTTAATAAACTCTCAGAAAGTAATTTATTAATTTAGTTAAATCAATTAAAGATGGCCATCCATCCACACTCGTCAGATCTCAGAGGCAACAGGTGTAGGAGAGCATTTTTTTACTGCAGATTTTATTCCCATATCATTGATCATTCTCCTGCTTCATCCTACTAACACTCGTGAACAAAATGTCCAGATATTCGAACTCCATCATCTTAGGCAAAGACTCATTTTCAAACCAAAGAAAGCATTACATTTGTTTCCGATTTAAAACCATGGCTTTGGATTTAAAGGAGCTGACTCTCATCCCTGCTGCTTCACACTTGGCTGTGAGCCATATGTTTGTGTAATCGAAGAGTAAATGCAGCCTCACATAACAAACCACTGTCTGCTGGAATGTTTCCATATTTTAATCTATCGTATATTTTAGAATGGTTTTAACTGAATGTTTTTAATTGACTTAGCAAAGTTTGGTTTTAAAGTTTTTTAGAGTTTTTTAATCACATTTTTACTTTGTTTTTTATAAGCCAGATGTCAAAGACAAATCTCCATTTCATTGAATGTTATGGACAATAAAGTTGAATTGATTGATTGATTGATTGATTGATTGAGTGCTGTGTAAGAGGACTGTATCAGGTTTATACAACGTCGACCCCCAATGTAGCAGACCAAGGA